TAAACTACATTACTAAACTTTTGTAAAGTTGCTTTGACAACAAATACCATTGTCCTTAGCCTTAAGTCATACATCTTTTTCTTTTCTATCATCATTATTAAACCTCAGCTCTCTTTCACTAACTCATCATTCGTGTCTTATAATTTCCATATATATATTTCCATATATATTTCCATACATCCTATCTTTTAATCATCTTATCCCTCCACAATAAGATTCTTTAACATTCCATTGGTTTACTTGCTCTACTTTGACCATCTTTTCTTACTATATTCTTCCACAGGAGACCATTCTTTATCTTCCCTTTCTAGATCAACCTGGTTCAACAAGGCAATTAGTCTGTCCATTTCTTTCATTTCAGTCAGCTTCAATAATCAATCATCCGCAGTTGGTAACTCTTGTTTTTTCCACTTCTGTGCTATTAACAGTCTTGCAGCTGAGACCATATATAAAAGAATTCTCCAATATATTCTCTGTAACATCTGGTCTGTCTGATTTAACATATTTAATAGATATATTTCCGGTTTCAATTCATACTTAACTTTAAGAATATCTTGAATTGTTTCATGGATTTTCTTCCAGTAAATTTTCATCTTAGAGCATCTCCACCAAATATGAAGCCAAGATCCAATATTTTGTTTACATTTCCAACAAACATTCAAATTTGTATTATAAATTTTTGCAGTCTTTGCTGGAGTTAGATACCATCTTTGTTCCATCTTCCAATAGTTCTCTTTTAAATCTTGCGATTTAGTAAATTTCTCAGTTTTCCTTCTTGCATATAACCAAATCATCTGGAAAGGTTTGTAATTTGTACTCTTGTTCTTTAATTTTCATACCTTTTATGGTGCTGGAAGTACTAATGAACAGACTAAGGCAAAAGAACGGTATATAAAAAAGTATTTCATATCCATGGTAGATCCTGAAACCAAACCCCAGTGGATACCAAGGGCCCACTATACTATGTATTCATAAAGTTCTTAATCGCTTGAAGATTTCTAGTTTGATTGATGAAGATAATCCTTCTACTGATGTAGATTAATACTCATCAGTGCATTATTGCTAGGATGAATTTGTTATCTGGTGGTCATCTTTTTGATGATGAGCTTTTATGTATCAAATTAAGTTGATCATGGGATGACAGCCACAGAATTTGCCTCCATAGTGGTAATAATAATAATAAAATTTATTTATACCCCGCCCCTCTGTGCACAATCGTACTTGATGTCTTACCAGCTTGGTAGAACTGGTGTCACTTTTGAAAACTCAGGGTCACCTTCATGCTATGATAAGGCAGTGCAGTCAGATTTCATGGAGGAAAGCTTTAATATAAACCCACAGGCTGCACTTTGCCCAGCCCTGATGTAAAGGGTAAACATGTTGGTCAGACATAAGAGCTGTAGTGAGGTTTGATCTGCCATTAATTCAAAATGATGCAACTCAGTGAAGTTCTCATAGTGAAGCAGCTAAGTGCAGATTTTGTCACAAGAAATGGTGCGACTTTCAGATTTGACTTTGCTAATTTCATTACCTCATCTTAGTACAGACTTTCTTTGACAGAGCTATTCTTAGTGGTTCTGCTGTCAGTTGCCTCGGTATTTTCTAAGCTAAATGGTATTGCAGCAAATGTAGTAAAGACTGTCAAATGCTGGCACATCTTAGTAAGCTGAAAATGTACACTGCTGTACCTAGACTTCTCTGACCACTTTGGCAAGACCTGTGACACACACACCCCATTTCACATATTTGAAATAGTGAGAAGCAGAAGTGATAAGATAGTTTAATTTACCCATCATCACTAACTTGTAGAAGATATGATGTTGCTGAGAAAATTTTGTCACCAACAGCTGAAATGCTTAGTGAATTCTTGATAAACTGACACATTCTAAATATTTTTCCTTCTTAGCTCATTTGAGCATGGGTGGACATTTAAGAAGTTAGTATAGCTGTTCTCAGTGTGGTGAAGTAAACAGCAAGTCTGAACAAAGTCTCTATTAATCTGCTTCACATTTTTCCCCCTGGAGGTTTCCTATATTACTGCCAACACACTGCATAACACTGCTTCACTGTGTCTGTTATGTTTAAAATAGTATGTTTGTGTACCCATTTGCAAAAGAAAACTTCATGTTCACTTTCTGGTACTATTCTATTACTGTACTAATAAAAGTCTATTTTTATGTGTGAACTTTCCTAGCTCTTTCTGGATAGGCACTCAGATGGGGGTGGGGAGTGTCTTATGCGAATCAACTGGTTGCATATATGTTTAGCATCAATCCAGGAGTAGGTCAGCTGGGAAGATGCTTCCATGGATATAGATGTTGCTAGAAGCCATAAGCACAATTGCTCTTATCTACAGGTTTTTAGGATATGTGAATTTGTGCATGAAGGCAAGTCAGGGTTGCTTTCCCTCAAAATCACAACAGCGTTCTAGGCAAGCTGTGATTGTCTCTATCTCAGCTACATTGAGGATGTAAGTTAATGTGCATAAGGTAAAGATTACTGAAATAATGATATACATTTAGGGCCTTTGCAGACTGCTAGAAATAGTGCAAATTGAGTCAACTCTAACTGCCCTGGCTCAGGCTAGGGAATCATGGGAATTGTATTTTTTTCTGAGACATTGAGACTTCTCTGTCAGAGAGCTCTGGTGCCACAATAAACTACAGTTCCCATGATTCCCTAGCACTGAGCTAGGGCAGTTAAAGTGGATTCAATTTGCACTATATCTGGCAGTCTGCAAAGGCCCAGAGTCACACAATTTAAGACCATTGTGTGAATTGGCTCCGAATCATGCTACTATAATGACTGTTGGCAACACAACTTAAAACATCAGATTAAGATCTAGCTCCAATAATCTCATATAAACTTTGTCCTTAAATTTGTAGCAGAAAGCAACATTTTTCAAATAAAGGGTGATTTTAAAAATGGTGCAAAAGTAAACCTGTTCTTATTTGATTTTGACAGTGATGTAGATTAAAGTTGATTGACTAAAGGGTAAGCAGATGGGCAGCTTGGTGATCATCCTGTGACTGAATGGGAACTGTGGCGACTGGATAACCCACTCTGAAAGCAGGCCACCACTGTGGTCCCAAATGGGCCACTGGCAAAGAGCAGACTTTTGCCGCTCTTTTTGCTAGTAGTTTCAGGCTGCCTTATGCGGCCTCAGATTTGCTTCTGGCCACTCCAGGGGCTAGCGTGATCTGCATGTCATGCCCAAAAGTGGCTGGAAGCTGCGCCTTTTGGCACATCTGTTTTGGGCCTCAGACTCAAGTTGTACTCAAGATACTTCAATGACTTGACTTGGACTTGACTTGGTAATAAATGATACACTGACTTGACTTGACTTGTGACTTGTACATTTTTAGTGAAAGACTTACTAGTCTCACTCCCTGGACCAGCAGGCAGGACCTAGCCCAAAGCATGGGACATATTTCTTGAAGGGGAACAACAAATGCCTCAAGCAATGGGCTTGAGGCAGAAAGCTCCTCTAAAGATTTTCAAAAACTTTAGAAGGCTCCTCCAACCCCAGCCTCATGACCATTACCTAATCAACTTGCTATTCCCTTCTGAGAAATGTACATTACTTCCTTTTTTTTCTGTTAAAGTTGGCTCCCAGACTTAACTTGAGCCTTGACTTGAAAAAATCTTGCAAGGACTTGAGACTCAAGTTGACCTTTGTAGGTAGAGACTTGAGATTTGACTTGAGAGTTGGAGTAAAAGACTTGAACACATTATTGGGTTTGAACCATTCTTTTTGAATCACCCTGGATATATTTTAAACACTGGATCTTGCTTCATTTAAGGGTTTTGTTGGAAATGTTGGACTTTCAAAAATGAGCTTGCCAAAATGGTTCATAAACAAGTGAAATTGCAAGACTACACCTGCAATCCACCCACTTTACCTGGGAGGAAGCACCTTTGAGATCACTGTGGGCTATTCCTGAGTGGATGTGTGTTGTGCAGAATTCAGCTATAAACAGCTTCACTGATTTCCAGTTTGAACAGAACTTCTTTCTTGGGGATGGGAACGAGAGCTGCTCATGAACTTAAATGATACAGAGCTTGGGTCCAGCCTATTTAAAGGATTACATCTCTCCATATGATCTTCAGGAGATCCCCTTCACTGTGCTCCACTACCTTATTAGGCTTGTTTGGTGGGGAAAAGATGGGAGGGGACTTCTTGGTAGCTGCTCCCAGGCATTTGATTTCCTTCCCTTGGGAGGCTCCCTTCTTGTTCTCTTTCCATCACAAAGTAAAAACATTCTTATTCCTTCAGGCTTTTAGAAATTGACTGTGATGACCTTTTAATGGTGTGTGGTGCTGTTTTGTTGTTTTTATATGTGGTTTTAATGAATTTTAATGGGTTTAATTTTATGGAATACACACACACACACATTATATTTATACTTTTTAAACTGATGTTTTTGGATAGTTTTAAATCTATACTTTTCATTATGTTGTAAATTGCCTTGGAGAAAAGGGGGGATATGAATGAATAAAATAAGTAAAATAAAATAAAATCCAATATTTTAGAGTAGCAGCATGGAATCTCTTTTCTTTCTTATATGTATTATTCTTTCACAGTACATTTTTAGCATTTGAATCTTTCAGCATTTAAAAAACAGTAAGCATAAAAGGGTCAGCTGATCCATCTGACAATGTAAATATGAGTCAACTGTGCAGAAGGCTACTGCTTGCAAGTGGAGGCTAGATTTGGCCTGGAAAGAGGCTTTAAAGGACAATTTAAGTTGTTGTAAGAAGGCGTATTTTATATTCACATGTTTTGACTGAAAATGTGTACAGGTTCAGCCTCAGTTCTCATCAACAGCATTTACTGTTGTGTTCTTGTGTACCTTCAAGTCATGTCTGACTTATGTTGACCTAAGACAAACCTATCATTATTATTTTTTTTGCAATATTTGTTCAGAGTGGGTTTTGCCTTTGCTTTCCTCTGAAGCTGAGAGAGCATGACTTGCCCAAGGCCACTCACTGGGTTTCCATGGCTGAATGTGGATTTGAACTCTGGTCTCCAGAGTTATAGTCCAGCACTTTACCACTACACCATGCTGGCTCTCATGGCTTTCACTACAAGACCAAAATATAATAAATATCTGTCCTAACACTTCAGCCTGTAATATGTGACTTAAAGAACCAGACAACACTGTGGTGAAAGAGACTGCCTCATCATGGCCCCTAACACATAGTAGCTATGTTGTTTTAAACCACTCTGTTATCCTTATTCTTACCTTTAACTTGAAATGTTAAAACTGGAGTACATTGCAGGGTTGTTGTTGTCAGCCATCTCTTCTATATTTAGCCCCACTAATGTGCTATATGGGAATAGTGAGCTAATTGCATTGGTCTTAATAGCTCAAAGATAATGTAGTTAAATGTTTTACAGAAAATAAGACCTGGGTTTGGCAAGAGTATGACTTCTTCTCTTAGCTGAGCCTGAATAAGGACAGGATGAACAACCTGGTATTGAGTCATGGGTCTGCTGAAATCTTGGATCTGCTTACTTATTTCTATGAATAATTCTCACCTTCATTTACAAATGACCTCTCTCACAACTGATGTGAAGGTGACATAGTTTCAGGATATGTAAAAGAAGATTTTATTTCAAGAAAAAAATCCATTCTCTTGGAGTAAAACTTTATTTTTACACCCTGAGATACGATCTTTAATTCACATCCAGTTTTACTAGAGGTTTCAAATTGTTCTTACTGTTTTTTCTCATTAGTTTGAACCAGGACATGGCATTTATAATGACCAATGCAGAGAAGTAGAAGACAACAACAAAAAAAGGAAGAACATAAGACCTCTTCCACAAAATCTGGGAACTCAAAGGGAAGTTGAAACAAAGGGCCAGGATGATTTATGATAAGAAAAAGACCATACTACAAGATCAAGAAAAGATAAAAAGATGTTAGTTGCAATGCACAGAAGTTTGTATAATAAATATGAAAAAAATGAATGACACATGGAATGAAGAACCATATGAAGATGAACCCCAGATTCAAAAAAGCAAGGTGGAAGCTGCAGTAAGAGAAACTGGGAAAAATAAATCACTAGGAACATATGATATTCCAGTTGAAATGCTACAATCCACATAGACAGAATCAACTCTAGTAGTAACTAATATAGTATCAACAAATATGGAAAACAAAATGGTGGCCATAGGACTGGAAATTAACAATCTACGTAAGATCTACATAAGATAAAGTCCCTTCTCACCTCTCTCTGTTGTTTCACTAAAGCTACTTCAGGATGGGGGAGGGGATTAGATGGAATCCCTTCCCAACAATTCTTTTGGAGTAGGCAAAAGAAACAAAGCAGGTGAGCATCTGATAGATTTTTGTGAAG